TTTTTTTCCCTGTGCATTTGAAAACTTGTGGGAATCTTAAATTCTGACCTCCTGATTGCACCAACTAAGTTAACTTTGCCTCCTGATAAGATACTAAARTTGAAAATTAAAGCATTATTTCGACTACTTAACGAGTACAGACACAAAAAAAACACAAAATTATAAAATCAATACATTCATATTTCATCGCTTCGCTCAGAATCTAAAACATATTTAACTTCCACTTACAAAATATGTATTATATCTTATTAGATAAAGATGTAAAAGATAGTTAATRCATTAACCTATGGTTGTAATAAAATAACGAATTAAGTAGATGTACATGCGGTTTTGAGAATATATCTACAAATATATTAAATGCATATTTGGTAAATTCTAATTTTTTTGTTGTGATGGAATAAATTCCATAAGGATGGTGAAGGGGAGTGCGTACCTTGCATATATTTTTKTTCCTCACCAAAAATCAAAAATTAGTTTAATAGGCCGCTATACAAAAAAATATGCAAAAGTGTAAGWAGTATATGTATTTGTATGCTCACAGTTTATGATAATATAATGGCATTTCCACATGCTCTAGGTCTAGGTATTGCATAACACATAATCATAGATTTTTTTCAAAAAAGTGATATTCTTATGTTCACGAATGCTCTACTGTATTTTTCATTTGTGTAAAAGACAAATAATAATTATGTGTGACAATACATTTTGCATTTGAAAATATCCGCTTAAACTGATAAGATCTCCCTGTAAGGAAAAGGAGCTGTGAACAAATTTATACTATTAGTGCACTCCAAATCTACGTTTTTMGTTGTCTTCATAATACATAATTTTTATGTTTACACAAATTAGWTGAGTTAGGCATATCTTGTACTAAAACAAGGTTTTGAAAAGGAAGGATACTCTACTCTGTCACATGCCAAGCCGGCCAAAGCGAACAATATAGTTCAATCATATCATTTGAATAATTTTAAAATATTTAATGTTATTTAATATTTATTTAATATTAAGTTGATCGTTTGTTTGTTATTTTTTTCAAATAACTTTATCCAAAATTTATACTATTAACTATAATATAAAAATATATGTGTCTTATAGATGGATATTGCAGTTACATTATTAGAATACGGAGCAAAAGCAAACGCTGAATCAAAAGCAGGATTTACTCCTCTTCATCTTAGTTCTCAAGAAGGTAATGTTGAGATGACTACTTTACTTTTGAACCACAACGCAGATCCTAATTATAAATCAAAGGTAATTAATACAGTGCTTGTGAAAAYCATAACTTCTTTTTTAAACGTAAAATGWATTTTACAGAACGGCTTAACACCAATGCATCTTACCGCACAAGAAGATAAACATAAAGTAGCTGTTGTGTTGGATAATTACCATGCAGATATTAATCCAGAAACTAAAGTAATAATAAATTAAGTACACCTGATATTGCTTAGYTCGTAATTAACGTGCATTAACCAATGTATTTAAATTATAAATATAAATATATCTATTTGTACAATTATATTAGGCTGGGTTTACTCCTTTGCACGTTGCTTGTCATTTTGGTCAATTAAATATGGTTCGATTTATAACCGCTCGTCAAGGAGTTAACATTAACGCGACTACAGCTTCTGGATATACACCACTTCACCAAGCAGCTCAACAAGGCCATTCTACCATTGTAAGCCACTTATTGGGTAAGGGAGCTAACCCAGATTTATTGACAARTGTAAGTAAAAAAATTATTTTTAACGTTTTAATGAACATGTTGATTTAATTTWAAAAAAATTACATGAATGTAGTTTTAGAACCAATTAAATTAAATTAGTTATAAACTTATAAATCATTGAAGAGTATACGCGTTCCTAGGTATATTAGTACAAATAAAAATACACCTATCTACCAAGAGGGCAATTTTTAACTTTTGAAAAGGTTATAGCAAACATTCCAGATTTTCTAAAAGCATTATTATTCATAAGCGAGTGAAAATATTTGGAAAACAAATAAATTAAAATAATGGTTTCAGTTGATTAAAAATATGGTTTACCTAATTATTTTATTATGTTATACTATAAATGTCATAAACCTACTTATCAATATAATCCTAGCTTAAATAAAAGGTCCAAGTATGTCAAATATTTAGTTATATAAAACTAAATCCTTTCATTACAATTCAATTACATACACAATATAATTTACACTAATACATTGAAATCAATAAAATATACTTATAATGTCGTTGAGTGATTAATTAGTTTTATGGAACTATATATAGACTCTTTGCCATTAAATCATAATAGTATAATTTACTATATATTTAGAGAATTACACTTGTGTATAATATTATGTATGATAATTATTACGATGCTATAAAAGTATAATTTGTACTTAAATACATAATTATACTAAATAGTGAATACATCCACTTCAAAAGTAATAATATTTATACCATTTTATTTTCCTTTATTTTGGTACAGTATTTAGCTGTATTATATGTATTAATTTATACAGCACRTTAAAAAAATAAACTTATTTTATTCATATAGGTATTAATATTAAGTACCTAATATAGTAAAATCAAAGTAATGTCTGAAATCTGAATAGAATGACAGTGGTTTCTAAATTGGTTAATGAAAACAGTATTAATTTAATGTAGTAATGGTATACAATTATAATAAGGCATGCAAGTATGCAACACATCATAAAATAATAATTACATAAGATTTTGCATTTAATTTTTAAGTTAATATTTTATTGTCTTGAAAATGTCTGTAGTTTTAAATATTGCATTGTTATTTTATACAGCAAGGACAAACGGCTCTATCAATTTCTCAGAAATTGGGTTACATAAGTGTAGTAGAAGCTTTGAAGAATGTTACAAAAGCTGTACCTTCATCG